TCCCTGGTTTATGCGCACATATATGGGGGAAGGTGTGTTTTTGTGTAGCTCAGAAAGAGCTGAAAGTATCTTTCTCAGCTGCATATTGTCCATCAGTTTATCTATTAAATAAACAAGAATTTGATTGAGCGGTTTGGAGTTTTTAATCTGTATCTTTTTGTTTAATGACAATTTAATTAACAATTAATAATAAGCTCTGTGTGAGAGCTGCTTAGTTTTCACATTATAAGAACCAGTCTCAGGTCAACAGCAGTTATACAGTAAAATGTTATTTGCCATTTTTAATCCTCTTGAGTTAAAAAATCTGTGTTGGTATTTGTTCTCATTTCCAGCATGAAAAAGTAGCTTGAGTATCATATAGCAGAGTATTATTAACAGTTAATTTTTGTAAAAACTATCGGAGTCATCTAGTGTAACTAACCTTGCATGAATCACTGTGTATGTGTGCCTCAGTGAATGCTTTCTTTTTATATGTGTGTGTGTGTACACCGCACTCTGGTTTCAGGACCTGAACAATGTGTTGGAAAGTCTGCCACAAGAAGAGCGAATGGAGAGAGATAAGATAGAGAACAAACATGGCCTCGTCAGCAAAATGAACGAAGAAGTTACTTCCCAGCAGCAGAAAATTGACAGAGCCTCAAAGCAGGTTTGATGTCCAACTGCATCATGTTTTCTAAGCACATTTGTTAACCTGCTGCACCTGTGAGCAGTCAACAGCAGAACGAAGCAGCGCCATGTTATAAATGTGTGCTGCTCTGCTGATTTTCCAGTTCTCTAAGCTGACCAAAGAAGTCCGCTCAGCAAAGGGCACCAAAGACGAGACTTTCGAAGAGAAAGACATTAAGCTGAGGGAGTTGAAGGAATTCATCAAGAACGTGGACAGGATGCTGAATGAGGCCTGGGAGGGCAATCCTGACCTCAGATCAGTGATGGAGAAGTATTTCCTGCAGGTACAGTTCTTCAAGGATTATTGAACGCTTTGATTTACTGTTGAAGCTCCTTTAACTTGAACGTTTTCTCTCTCTCAGGCCAGTCTGTCTCTTCCCTCTCCTTCTCCCACTCCTGTCAGCCAGCGGAGCTCCAAGAACAGTTCCCCGCGCTCCTCCACCTCTCTCAGGTCAGGCTTCATCCGTTCCTAATAAAACCTCTGATCCTCCAAAGAAGCTTCTTCTTTTGCATTTTTATGTTTTTTTTTTCCTCTGCAGGTCTCTGGCATCCTCAGCCAGCGCCAGCCCCCGGACCGCTGCGCCTCACTCCCCGACACTGAGGACGGTGGAACTGAGCCTGGATCTGACTGCGACCTCCCCTCCTCTCACCACCTCCAGATGTTCCAGCTCTGCGAGCAGCTCAAGCAGCAGCAGAAAGTCAAAGAAGCTTTAGTGTCTTTCTCCTCTGATTGCTGCTTTACCATTCAGAACTACTCAGTTTTGGAGTTAAAGCTGCAGAGAATGACCAGTGCATTGATGTGTTTATGTTTTCAGTTTGTAGGTTCAGGATCATTTGTTTTTTGTGTCTTTTTTGGTGTGTCGCACTCATTTCAGAGTAAATCTTGAATCGGTTAGATTTTCAGACTCTGTGAATCTAGTGTAATCTGAATTTTTTCTTTGGATTCTCCTTTTCTTTGCTTGTTTTGTCTTACAAGTACATACATACGCAAAGAGTTCTCAATAAAATGTTATTGACAAGCCACTCTCCGAGTATTTGTATGACCGTGGTACCTTGAAAGCTTTCCTAAACTACCTACTTCACTACATATACACAGTGTGAAAGGTATTCACCTGTTTCTCTTACCCAGCTTTAGCAGCAGCTGAAATGTTTTATGTGCTTTCTTTGTGTATGACAATCTGTTTGACTTTTTGATAGCTGTTTTTTTTTCTGAGAATGTTTTAAAGAGTAGGAATGCCTCACTGTCTGAAAACTGTGCTACTTCCTCATGTTTCATGACATGGTTTGTTCTGACCCTATTGTTCGTGCTCATCCAATTCTTCAAGGAAGTTTTGCAACCAGGCCACTCCCTCTCTGTAACACTATTAGTCTCTCATACAGACTAAAAGCAGCCAGACAGACTACGGGAACAATACTGCACCTGAACAGATTTCCCTCTTTTCTTTGGAATAAAGCTTCAACATGCTGCTGCTGATCCTGTTTGCTGGATGTTTGGCCACATCTGTAGCACAGAACAGTGAGTACATTCTTTAGTGATCATAAGGAAATGTAATGGTTATCTTTTAAATAACAATGTTAATAAGTTAAAACTGTCTAGATATGAAATGTGACCTTAACTTTGCTCATGTTTCAGTAACTGTAACAGGAACGCCTGCACAGACCAGTGAGTTACTCTTTAGGGATCATAAGGAAATGCAAAATCGATCTTGTTAATAAGTTCAAATTGTCTAGATATGAAATGTGACCTTAACTGTGCTCGTTTCAGCAGCAGTTCCCATCATTTTTGAAGGATCAACGTCTGCAGTTTATACGCCAGAATGTAAGTGCCTTTTAAATTGTAGTGTGTAATTTGCAGGCCTGAAATCAAAGGTCTGATTTTGATTAATTTTTCTCTGTTGATCTTTCAGACGTGGCGATCCTTCAGGCTTATGTTCAGTATGCTGCCCCATTTGATCTAAATGAGACGACAGCTCAGCCGATCTTGAACGAGGTACCTGTCTTCTTACAAAATAAGCTCTAACAGCCAGTTCTGTATGTGTGTCAATGAGCGACTCAAAATAATGGGTTTAAAAATGATGTCTTTCAGCTTGTCCAGCGCATCAGACAGAACCTACCAGATTCTAATATAAGTCTGAAAATTAGAAACATCACCAAAGTCTGACACCTCACAAGCTCGTCTTTACTCGTTTGATTTGTGTTGATCGTAGCTCGACTCGGTTATCTGAGTGGGATATGTAAAGTTCACTTCAGCAGATATTTATAGTCATTTTCAGGTGATGGTTTTATATTAGTCTTTAACAGAGGAATCGAACTGATGTGTTTCTAATACTTGAATAAGGCAACGTCTTCAACATGAAAGATAAACATTGAATATCGAAACAAAAATGACCAAAGAATCCAATTCTTTTAACCCTGTTGTATGTCAGAAACAGGCCACTCCCTCTGTGCAATGAATTGCTTGTAAAGAATGAAAGTAGCTATAAGCTCTTGTGTGTGACAAATGTCCAAAAACCTGAAGATGGGGCGATTCAGCTGTTTTAAAGATGAATCAAAGTGCTTGAAATTGAAATCTGTAGCTTTGTGATCAAACTGAGTTACTAAGTATCCAAAACAGAGGAAACAGGGTTTCGTCGTAACCAGATAACCCTGAGTTTTCTGTACTACAGTGATGGTTTACATCTTACTGGGTTACAGTATATTGCAGTATAACTTCATTACAATTTCATCTCTACACTCAAACCCTTAAAAGCACAAACAAAAGCAGCTGAGAGATTAAAAAGTAAAGCTGATGGGAGAGGATGTTCAGAGTTTTGGTTTAAAATTTTCTGGAAGCGCTGATTCTTCTATTTACAACATGCTTTGAGCACAACACAGATTCTCTGCCGGGAGTAAATGGTTCATATTTGCAAGCTGTTAAGCTGTGATTTTCTAAAACCAGTGAATGAAGCACAAGCTGTGCGTCACAATGTCACGGAAATCTGCATGTATTCATTTAATGATGCTGAAAATATGAATACCTCATTCAAATCTGCTGTAAAGTCTCCTTTACACCGATGGAAGTATACATGAAGCAGTTTCCAGCTCTCTTTTAATGGGCTGTGGGACAGTAAGCTTTAATGTTTACATAGATCCAGTTTAATGTGCAGCCCCAGAAGCAGGGGATGTACTAACATTTGGATGTTTTTAATTACAACATGCTGACACCAACCTGCTTTTATAACAACATGCTGATGTCTTACCTTTGAGAATAAAAACTGAAGTGGAGAGAATAAACGGTTCTCTCCGTGCCAGTTCGTATACTATATTATACTCAATATGGTTTCTTTTTTAAGGCAACTTTAATGTTGGGTGGTAACAGGTACGCATGTCCTCTAAGGCAAAGTATATTTCTGTGAAGTTTGAAGTCCATAAAAACTGTGGGTAATATAACGTTTAACTGTTAACTTAGTGAGTCGATAACTAGCTTTATGTGACACTTTATCCTGTAGGGTAAGTTAATCCAACGATACTGCTGTTATGCTGAATTTGCTTTGTAGTAGAGACCTCTGTTTCTACAAAACATATGGAAACAATTGTTGTATAAAACTGGAACAACATAATGTAATGATGTGCAAATCATTTAAATGCAATAATAAATGAAAACAAGTTGTAAGATGAGTTGTGATGTTGTTTGTTTGTCTTTTGGAAAATCTGTTAAAGTTCATGCCAGCAACACAGTTCAAAGAAGGCGGAGAGAGCACTTGTTTTGAAAATGGGCGTACTTCCATTTTTCTTATTCTTGTTGTTATTTTATAAAAATTTTAGATGCTAATTTATCATTTTTATTTATAAAAGTAAATTCATGTTTTTGATACATTTCATGTCCAGACAACCTAGATTATTTTTGTGCAAAATGTTTTTGACATTGTCTTGTGTTTGGATATATGGCCACTTAATTAGGTACAACTGCCTCCAGACCTTTCTTAATCCTTTATGACATTTATTCATCAAGATGCTGGAAACAATCCTCAAACATTTTGCTCCATACTGAACTGATTTTTCACATCCATGATGTGAAAATCCTGTTCTAACAAATCCCAAAGGGCGCTCTATTGGATTAAGGTCTGATGAGTGTGGAGGCTATCTGGATACAGTGAACTCATTGTCATATTAAAAAAACAACAGTTTGAGATGATTTAATCTTTGTCACATTGCACATTATCCTGCTGGAAACAGCCATCAGGAGATGGAATGAAGGAATGAACATGGTCATCAATAATAAAGGTTTTGTTTTGTACTTTGGACAGCCACTTTTACTCATTTCATAATGAATTCGTCATAGGACTAAAGTTGAACAGTAACACCAAAACCTGTTGTTTATCAGAACCATCTGAGCTGAGACTGAGGGTGGAGTCTGACAAAAGGGAAACTGTCACAGTTTTGTCTTGGAAGGACATTTCAGTGGAATCACGGAGTGAATCTGAAGGTTTTCAAATGGAAACTTTCACTTTCAGCCACTAGATGGCAACACACACTCATGCCTTGTCCCACTTTGACCCACCTTTTCACCATTTTTTACCCACAGCAAATGATTTCGTTCGCCTCATTATTTTTCATCAACCAAAACTAAACCATGTCTCATAGATTTCTAGTTATGCCAAAGAGATTAAAAGGTTTCTTTTTTGAGCAAGCAGTGCTCCATAACAAATGCTGTTTGACCGCAGTCAGCTCTGTCGTTGCACTAAAAAAAACCTGGGAGAGTCCTGTGCAGCTGTTCTCAACTTCAGTTGTGTCCAAGTGATCCTATGATTTACAGTTAGAACCTGACTGATCATTTTACATTTAACAAGGAATATAATTGATTAACACATCTTGCAGCACTGGGGAAAAAGTTGTATTGTGCTAGGAATGGGTGCAGTAAAAATAGTTTGTGCCTTTATTCTTCAACACACTCTGAACTCTCTTGGGCAGCTTTCCTGTAATTTTTCCAGGTTTCTTGAGAAACACTCAAAGTTCTTCTTGGGATGTTTTTGCTGTTCTGTTGTTTGTCAAGATAGTCCCACACTGCTTCAGTAAAGTTGACGTCTGAGCTCTGTGGAAGCCAATCCATGACTGATGGTAACCATTGTGTATCTTTCTATCCAAGCATACTTTTACTGCATTGACAGTGTGTTCATTAAAAAATTAAAGACGGGAAGAATGGCTCAAGACGTTTGCACAGCACTACAGATCAGTTCAAGATTTGTTTAATACAAGAAAAAACATTAACAAACGTATAATGATAAAAACAAGTGTAACAAAGCAAAAAAGGTTAAGTGACAGCAACCACAGAGGAGACTACGGAATTTCTTAGTCTTCTTTGCTTGCTTAAAAGAAAAAGAAACATTCACAAAACACCCAAAGTTTGATCCTGGGAGGTAGAAAGGAGACTAAAGGAATGTGTGTAGCTGAGAATGGTTTCTTACACGGTTACATGCTGTGTTTTAATCCAGTTTCATGCCTTTGAACACATCTTCCATGGAAATGCTTGACTGCAGAAAGCAGGAAATCAGTTTCAAAAATATTCAAAGTATTGAATATCCAGAATGAAAGACACAGAAATAACCAGCTGTGTCTAATTGCATATATAACTGTCCCATCTCCCACGGCACAGGCCATGTTAATCAACCTTACACTGACCTCCTCCAGTCTTCCACATGAGCCGGGATGCTCTTTTAAACCCCAGGGACAGTTTGAGCAGACACTTAGGAGACGTTTGCACACTACAAACCGACCTTCAGCTTACCCGCCTTTAGTATGGACCGAGATTCCTCTTTTTATCTTCATCTCTGATTGTGGGGGCAACACTCAGCATCTCTCCGGCTGAACGCACTGCACACTGCAAAATCAAATGGTAACGTGCATCGTCTTTGAGGATTTGTGTGTGGAATTGAGATGTTGAATTATACACTTTGCAGTGCACCTTTTCCTAAAACGAATCCAAGGCGTTATTAATATCAGATGCAGAAGTTTTGTTGCAGTGATGTTCAATTCAGGCTTCTTTGGTCGTGTTTGTGCACTCACATTAGTCATATCTGTGCAGAGAACAGTTTCCATTTTTTCTTCTTAAAGTAGCATCTCTCTTTAAGTGAAGTTGATATTTCTTGTGCTTCTGTCAACACATTTTGATTGAATAATTTCACTGCTCTGCTCTGCAGGCTCTTTGGCATCTCCTGCAGCAATGTCTCTGAAAGGCTCGTGAGCCAGATCAAAGCCTGGCAGATCAGTAGAAGCTGTCTGTATGCAGGAGAGCAGTGCTCCTATGTGGTCAGACACATCACTTCCTATTCTTTAAAGCATGGGATAAATATTTTATACTAAAAAACCTCAAACTTCACCCTCAGTGAAGATGAAGCATGTGCTAACCATTAATAACATTTGCTATGTAGGTTATAAATGCTGTTTATGGGATTTGGGTAAAGTGATCTCTTTCTTGATGTATCTATTTAAATGAATGAGTTACTGCTAAAAGCAAAGACTCACAAGCTCTGCCAGATCAAACATGCAGAACTACCTGCTGCCTGCTGTAAAGTTGTTGCAAGGGAGAAACTGAAAGTAGCACAGCGGTAAGTGGTATTATTGCATAGTAGAAGTATTTAGAAAACCACAGGAACTCAGTCTTGAACGTGTCAGACCATGTAAAGCTAACAAACTGCAGAGTTTCTTCTCTGGCATTAACATCAGCATAAAACCTGTGCGCCAGGAACTTGATAGCAGGACTTTCCCCTGGTCAAGCAGTTCCTGTAGATATACTGTTTAGGTGCCTTAATGTTTTAGAATAGAATAATCCTTTAATAGTCCCACAAGGGGAAATTTGGTTGTAAAAGGAGCAAAAAGACACATGTACGAACAGAGCAGGATACAAGACATAGAACAGAAGCACACAAAATGTTTACATATTTACATCATAGACAATAGTTACCATAACAGTACTGTACAGTTATTAAAATTAAAGTAGAGATAAGTGGCAAACCCAGGTTGAGCTTTCAGCTGTCATTTTGCCAAGCCTGCAAACTCGTCTGACTCCTTCTGGCACTTTGTGTTACATAAAATGTTATTGTCAGACTTCAATCAGCTTGACATGTCTTGACAGCTTGTGTCATCAGCTCCCAACCTGATCATAGCCACGCACACATCTCCCAGAACAAAGAAAGTGAACGACCTTCAGTTCCTCGCAGAGCAGTCCACAAATTGCAAAGTGACCGTGTATAAACTGTGTATAAATTATAGACTACAAGTATGGTGGAATGCTTGATCGGAGATAAAATCAGAACGCTGAACATTTCATCAGATTTAATCCCAGAATTTCTTGTTTGACAAACCAACGTGTTTCTGACGAGCAGGGAGAGGCGGTGTCTGAGTTCTCCACAGATCCAGCTGATAACGGCACAAACTACTGCAGCATGCAGAACCTGATGGACGGTAAGTGGAATAATCGCTCGATGTTACCGCGAAATATGAAATCACATCAGCAATGCCTGTTTGCTTCTCTCTGCTCAGGAAGTACACTGAGCGACGCCGAGGGATACAAAAAGTTCAGCAACAAGTGGATCTGCCCTGGGTTTGATGCTGCCAAGTGCGCCCTGCTGTAAGGGACGAACGGATCCTGCAGGCTCCAAATGTTGCCTCTGAGAAATGTTTGCTTTGAACAGAGTGTCCTTCTCCATAAACAGAAAATGTCTGCAAAAGATATAATAATAGAGTGTTTATAACACATAAATTCAGTAGGATGTAACTACATGAATCTTTTAACTGGTTAATAAACTGTAAATCCATGATATTTATTACTTTGCCTCATTGAGAGTTTTGGTTTTTGTTTGTTTCCTGTTTTATACTGAGACTATTACTTGTCTTGTGCATAGCATAGACAGTATGCAAAAGATTGATTGAGCTTTTCAGCATTTCTTCAGCTTGTATTCTTTGCAACAGCCAGCAGGGGGAGACTCCTGTAATTGGAAAAAAAGTTGTGTAGAAAGGTCTGGGCTTGCTTTCTCTGTGACGTCAGCAAATATTTTCCTGATAAAGTCAGGAGGTCTAACTTGGGTCTAATTTAAAATCTAATTGAAAACAATCTGATGTTCAGTCTGGAGCTCGTGGGCCCAAAACAAGACTGGATAGAGTAACGTTTGCTTTACTGTGCGACGTCGAGGTCACCAGACACTGAGCACACATGGTTTCTCAGTCGTATCGAAATCATTTTGATTTCTCTACTAAGTCAAACTAATCAGAGCATGTTAACGGCACATACTGTAGCAAGCTGATGAAAGAATGGGCGGCATGCAGATTGGAATTAGTTTAATCTTTTCTTTTTTTCAAGTTCATTTCACTTTACATCATTTATAACTTCCAGGTTAGAATCTGGGGAGCATGATCACAAGCTTTTAAAGACTGGTATTCTGAATACAGGTGAATACAGATTTGAGAGAATATTCACACATTATACATACATACATTCATTTAAAAAAGAAATAGGATAAGAATCTGCTGCTCCAGACTGCTCATTTTTCTACCCTTGGATCTGTTTCCTGTCAGAGTGAATTGATACAATAATTTGGCCACCCCAGGCACACAGCTCTGACTGTAAGCACTCGAACCTTCTGTTTGTGAGGAGCAGCCAATCACAACAAATCATAAACACAGATTGTCCTAAAAGGGAGAGAAACGTATTTGTTTGTGATATTTCAGCAAGAATAAAAGTGCAAGAATAAAAATACGGAGCTGAAGCTCTTTGGTTCAGATGAGTTTTTTTAAATAGTAAAATTATTAGAAGGTTTGCCATTTAAATAAAATCTAAACGTTGATTGTTTTGTTCTGCACTCGTGCAGGTTTCAGAGCTGCTGATAGAAGACACACAAAGCTGCAAACTGCCGAACATGTGAGGGACTTTCCCACCAACCTGCAGTAAATGTTTGGCTGGTGGAAAAAAAAACATGGCTATCTCTCTCTCTCAAAAAAAGAAGAAGATGTAAACATTTTGAAAATACCTGAAGTGTAACAGCTTTGCAGAGAAGCGGCTCAGGAATCAGTTGCATTAGCTGAAACCGACGTTGTTAATAGTGTTTTACACTTGCACAGTCATCCACATATGAATATAATCAAACTGTACAAAAATCCAGAGATGAATATTAAGTTTAAATATGCTTCTGAAAACTGAAGACTGTGATCACATGACCACGACAGTGGGATTTTCATTACGTAACGTGTCAATCAGACAAAAGGTGATCAGCTTACATCTTCACAAAACTCTCAAAAATAAAAATCTAGTTTTGGCAACATTTTTAAACGTATATCCTCATAGAAGATATTCTTTGCTCTCAGTAGAAAAGTGTAGCACATTTACTGAAGAAATCAAGTCACCAGTTTCTCAAATTATTTGTTTTTCATTTGAGATATCAGAGTAATCCTCACAAACGCTGAGAGCCTGCTCCTCATTGCTCAGTACATGCAAAGCCTTGTTTTCCGTGAACAAGGCTTTGGGAGTCTGTTTGCGGCTTCATTGTGTTTTAATGCCTCCATGAATTTCTTCCTCTGTGTCAGGTTCAGTCATGCAGCAATACAGCAATATCTGGGTGTATCTGGTGGCGAAGGCTAGGCGAGGACACGGCGGAGAATGTGGGAGGGATGGGAAGAGAGAGAGGAAGAGAAGAGGTCAGTTACAGCTGATTCATGATTCAGGATGACTAATGCTGAATTTGATGTTAAAGATGGCGGTATTTGGCAATCTGGGTAAAGGACGAAAGGAGGACATGTAGCACGTAATTCTAAGGAGAATGACTTAAATCAGGGCGTTTTCACTTCTTTGAAAAAGGAAAAGAACAGAATGCTATGCAGTCCTGTGAAAATCTTTTTGTAGCTTGTGAAACCACCTTTAACTGCAATAACTTGAAGCGATCACTTTCTGTATTACTTTATGAGTCTGTCACATCCTTGTGGCGATATTTTGGCCAACTCTTTAAAATGCTGCTTCAGTTCATTGAGGTTTGCAGGCCTTCATCTATGCACAGCCGTCTTCAGGTCCTGCTGCAGCACTTCAGCCAGGTTTAGGTCTGGACTTTGCACCATTGTGATACATTGGTTATTTTCTTTTTGAGCCGTTCTGTTTCAGATTTGCAGCTGTGCTTGGCATCATTGTCCTGTTGCATAATCCAGTTTCAGCTGTCAGGCATGTGACCTCACATTGGACTCTAGCATACTTTGATATACAGAGTTGTTAATGGTTGACTCAATGACAGCAAGTTGACCAGGACCCGTGACTGCAATAAGCTAAATCATCACCCTCCACTACAGCTGGTATGAGGTGTTTGCACTGATATGCTGTGTTTGATTTACATCTCTACGTTTGTCCAGGAAACGTTGTTCCAACTTTGCAAACCTAAGCTGAGCTGCCAGGTTAGAACATCATGCCATCTCTCACATTCTTTCTCACTCAGAATTGTTGCATTCCTCTGGAAGCAGTAAAGATGTACTTAGTTTTTCACATGACTATATATTCAACCAACAACGAGGCCTAGAGAAAAACTGAAAACAGTATAAAATATAGATTTTAAGTCTTACTGTTTAGCTTGCGGATGAATTTAGGCCTTCTCTCCTCAGGCAGGTAAATGGCCACGTAATAAACTGGCACACCAGACAGTGCAATACCAATTCCTATGAGGGAGTTGATGGTGTCGCCGTACAGAGGGACGATGACTAAGAACAGGCTACAAAAACAGTAGATGAAGGGGAAGAACAAGGTGAGCTGTGAAGAGAGACACGCACATCTGGTTAGTCTTTCTGAGAATCTCTGAGTGTTTAAATGTGCATGTTGTCATGAAGAGCAATGGTTCAAAACACAGTGTTCACCATCCTTTTACGTTCATAATCACTCAGTGTGCACAAAACAACACCACACTTTAATTCTGAGTGCATGCAACTGTGGTAACTATTTATATTTCTTTCTTTCTTTACACAATTCCTGATTTTATTTCATCACATGGAAGCTGATGTATAAACAAGCAACAGATGGCAGTAGCAGGAAGTGAAAACAGTTTGTTGTGATGGGAGAGGTCAGATTTGGGGACAGCA